CGGAAGAAAGAGACTTGGGGGTCATCATTGACCAGAAAATAAACATGAGCCTGCAGTGTGATGCTGCAGCTAGTAAAATGGCCAAAACGCTAGCTTGCGTCCATAGATGCTTCTCAAGCAAATCCTGGGATGTCATTCTCCCCTTGTACTCGGCCTTGGTGAGGCCACAGCTAGAGTACTGAGTCCAGTTTTGGGCCCCAAAATTCAAAAAGGATGTGAAGAAGCTTGAGAGAGTCCAGAGAAGAGCCACGCGCATGATCAGAGGTCAGGGAAGCAGACCCTACGATGACAGGCTGAGAACCATGGGACTCTTTAGCCTGGAAAAGCGCAGGCTCAGGGGTGATCTGATGGCCACCTATAGTTTATCAGGGGTGTTCACCAGGATCTGGGGGAATGATTGTTCACCAGAGCGCCCCAAGGGATGACGGGGTCTAATGGTTATAAACTACTGCAAGACCGTTTCAGGCTGGACATAAGGAAGAATTTCTTTATTGTCCAAGCCCCCAATGTCTGGAATAGCCTGCCATCGGAGGTGGTTCAAGCACCTACATTGAACACCTTCAAGAGAAAATTGGATGCTTATCTTGCTGGGATCCTATGACCCCAGCTGACTTCCTGCCCCTTGGGCAGGGGGCTGGACTCGATGATTTTCCAAGGTCCCTTCCAGCCCTAATGTCTATGAAATCTATGAAGTACAAGGCTGGGAAAAAGAGAATCACAAATTATCTAGTGAAAATCCTTCTCTCAGATGAGGAAATAGGGGAGAGGGGCTCCAAGGCACTGAAAAGGGGAAAAGTTTGGAGATGCAAGGATAGGCCATACTGTTTTTGAAGTCTGGTTGTTGGATAGGCGATAGCCTTCATAAATGCATGGGAAGAGTGGCTGGTACCTCCACACAACACCTATTGGACCAGATGTACCAAAAAGTCAGGTGATAGGAGATCTGCAGTGAAACCAAACTCATCAGTCTTGAACTGAGACTGTGGGTGGGGAACATGTACCCAGACCAAAACTGGGAAAAACTTGTTTGAAATTGGGCCTCTGGAATTCAAACAAGAGTTCTGGATAGCTAAGACAGTGGGTGGACTAGTAACTACTTGGATTTCAGCAGGGCTAATCCAGTAGAAATAAGGGTGGAATAAATGCTACGAAAGATGTTTGCCAAATTCATCTGTGGAAGATCCCTTTAAATATGTGACCGGGTGAAAAGCGAAGAATTTATGATCAGTTTGATTGGCAGTGATGCTGCCTCCAGAGGCAGAAGCCATTATAACAACTGCATGCATGTTAGCTGATTTGGATTAGAGTTGCAGTGAGGACAAGGTGATGTGGATTTAACTCACGTTAGCAGCTGGAGTTCAACCCAGGTGATCTGGCATTAGCTATCTATATTGTTTTATCTTTACTCCTGTTTTAAAAGGAGTCAAGGAAATACTTTTTTACCTTGGAAACATGCCCTTAGTTCTTCAGAGAGAAATTAGGGCAGCACCCAAAAGGCATCTCCTGACAGTGGTTAATCCTATAGAATATTTTCACCACTTCTGGCATAGGAGGAAGCTGCCGGTCAGGATGAACTCTGCATCCCAGAGGTGGCTTTTTGGAGTCTGGAATCCTTAGAAGCCTTGACACTAGGAGCATCCACAACACGGAGCCAGATGATAGCTCTTATGGAGCAGTAGCTTCCCTGTGTAGACAAGCCCTGAAGTAGCCAAAACAGTGCCAGGTGCTGTCCAAGCAGAGGCTGGGTCCAGGCTCTGACTGGGCAAGCTGATCTGTCTGTGCAGAACCTCACTGGATGCTGTCCATGTAGATAAGGGGATGCAGGCAAGAGGTTCATCACAAGACAATGCCTTTGTTTAATACCTGCAAACCACCTCTTTCTTATTTCCATTTGGTAAAACTGCCAATGGCCTTGAATGCATTGAGCATTGACAAAGATCTGATTGCTCTGGGCTAGTACCACTCTCAGATCAGGCATACAGTACTGGCTCTCACAGTCTTTATGGGCTGTTCTGACAGCCAGAGAGAGCATAACGAACTCCAACCACGCCTCCTTCAGTCTGACCAGGACCCTAGAGCTAGCAGGGTACTGGAGCAGGAGCTACCACAGCAGATGGACACTTCACCTAGACATTTAAGGTGCAAAGCAGGCTTATGGCACAGCAAAGCCAGCAACACCAGACTCAGTGAGGCTGAGGACCTGGCTATGTAAGTCAGCTTCAGTTTCTGCTAGTGTTTTCCTACCAGACGTTCACATTTGGGAAACAATTGCTAATTACTTGGGATGCTTAATTAAATGTAGCTGTGTCTGAGGGAGTCTGCTAATGCTGAGTGTCCCAAGTAGGCTGATCCTCAGCTGGTGAAACATATCCAAGACCCATTGACTTACTGGGGCTATGACAAGTTATCTCAGCTAGGGATCTGCCTCCCCTCAAAATCTGTCATTTAAAAAATATATAGCATCTCACTATCTCAGAGCTGTTGCTCTTATCTTGTGGTTCGTAACAGAGATTATCTCCTGCTCTGACACTAAGAACATCCCAGAGTAACAGACAAAGATATTTGCTTCAGAGATAGTCCAGAACCTATAAAATACTATTTAATCTTCTTAGGGGCTGCCAGTATTAAACTGGATTGGCTATGCCTCTAGCAATATGTCCTTCACACCTGACCCTGTCTCTTATTAGAATTTACCTGGGAGAGATCCAATGAAGATGGGGTCATTTTCTGCTGCCTCTACCCATAACTGCATCTCTATTCTGGGTGCTAAGAGTCAAAGAAACTTCTATCGCTAAACACGACCAGCGGTACCCCAGTTTGTCTTGAACATCACCTTTTGAAGGTAAGCTTGGGGGAGGGGGGGGGGTCATATGATTGCCTGAGAGGTATGTCTTAGACAAGACAGCCAAATGCAGGGGAAAGGAATTGAACAGGAGAGAAAAATGCACGTTGAATATAAATAATGATAAACTAACTAGATTGGAAAAAGAACGAGGTAGATTTTCAGAAGTCATCAAGGTCAAGGGAGCTATGACATTTTACACCAACTGAGAACATACCCTTTTAGTTTTAAGGAGCTCATTTTGGAGAGAAAATATGAATTGTTGTGATTAAATAGTGCGGGATAAACTTATGCATCTTTTTTTCCCTATTCGTCTCTCTTGTAGTAAAGGGGATTTATTTACATTAGTTCATTACTGTTAAATGCTTTATGTTGGAATACAGCTGACTGTGCTGTAGCATGCTTATTGTTACCATTTATACTGTACATACTATATGGGTACGTGTACTTTGCAGACAAAAGGAGCAGATTTTATCTGATCTATGACTTTCCATCATTTCAAAGGAGACTACAGAGTTCAAAAGGAAACTCCTCCTATTCCAAAAGGAGCCTACAGAGTCCATTTCTTTCTTTTCTAGCCTGTAGGAAGTTTAGAGTGACTAGTTTAAGGGGACTGTATAGATGAAAGTATGCATGCAAATGTTAATGAAGAGCTCATTATGGAGTGGCTTGCAGAGCTGTGATTTATATTCTCTTCTAATTTAATAAAATAATCCTGTTCTGGGAAAAATGCATTAGAAAGGGCATACTCTAAACTATAACATGCAAATGGTGACTGCTTCTCAGCCCTGAATCGTGGTTTCTGCATTGTCATATAACAAATCTCTGTTGCTTTGGCATTTATAATTGGGCATGCTCTTTAAGTACTTTTCAAATAATTATGCAAGATATGATAATCATCTCCTAATAAACCATATTATAACTATTCTGCTTTGCCAGTCCTAATTTGTACAATAGGTTTAAAGAGATGTATCTAAAGAAACAAAAATTGCCCAGCACCCTTGACATTACTATACCAAATCTTCCCTCACGCCCTTCTCAAATTGAAAAAAAAAATCACCTTTTGCTTGGTCTGTATCTTGTATGAGTCCAAATATTGGAGAGTTGCAGAGTGAAATTAATAGGGACATACTAGAGCCATTTACCAAGCTCACTTTGATACGTAACTGGCCTGTTTAGAAGCTGGTTTTAAAATGATGGGGCTGTCACTAGTACTTCATTTTATAAAGGCATTCAGCCAATTTAAAAGTCAGTACTCAGGGCAGGGACCACATCCTCTTATATGTTTGTAGGCTGCTGAACACTCTGTCAGTGTTACAAAATAATAGATGGGGCCAAATCAAAACCCAGCTTGAACGAACCCTGAGCTGTGAGCCATGGAGTAACTGACTCAGACTCCTGAACTGATGGTCAGGGCCTTGCTCATCTTCATAACAAGGCCAACTGAAAGAACAGATCTGTACAGTCCCAAACAGTGCAAAGTCAGAAACTTGAAGTCTATGTGCAGATATGACCTTGCCAACCTGGACACATCTCATATTATCAGAACATAATGTCAATCAATGATGCATTAAGTTGCAAAGCAGCAGGCTTTACCTCTATAGTGGAAGGAGGCCGTATATCCTTGCATTATGCCTTTCATACTAAAATGCCTTCTTTTGCAGGATTCTGCCCTTTATGGCGTGTCATTCTGGTCCTAATGATATCCTGGCACTTAGGAACATCAAGAAACCCCCAGCGGTGGATGTAAACACAACGTGTTGACCAGGAGAAGCCTCCATTGGCTTCAGGAGCTTAGATCAGATTTGTGAACATTTAGAAAATGCATTTACCACCAAGGAAAAAGCTTCGATGGAACCGTGTCTTTTTCCTGCTGGCCATGATATTGACTTTCTCCATCTATCAGTTTATCTATAAACCCCAAATCCTTTCAGCCTTCTGGGGAGGATCTCAACCTGAGGAGCAAGTGAAAGTGGCCATCAGGGACCTTTCTAGTAACACGACTGCTGCAGCACAGAATGACACCACAACACCCAAGATAAGGCAATGCGTGTATGTGGATCCTGAGCCAACTGTGCCCATCTCTGTGGCAGTGAGTCCAAGCCCCTTGCCAGGAGATGTCACATCCAGCCACCCAGATGAAGAGAGGCACTCTCCCACACATGCCCCTAAAGGAGAGTACCCCCAAGACCTGTTCAGTGTGGAGGAGCGCAGGAAAGGGTGGGTTATACTTCACATCTTTGGTATGATGTATGTGTTTGTGGCTTTGGCCATAGTGTGCGATGAATTTTTTGTCCCTGCTTTGGGAGTGATCACAGAAAAGTTGCAGATCTCTGATGATGTGGCAGGAGCCACCTTCATGGCAGCAGGTGGATCAGCACCAGAACTCTTCACATCTCTCATAGGTGTCTTCATCTCACACAGCAATGTGGGCATCGGCACCATTGTGGGCTCAGCCGTGTTTAACATCCTCTTTGTCATTGGTACCTGTGCCCTGTTCTCCAGGGAGATACTCCATCTGACCTGGTGGCCACTGTTTAGAGACATCTCATTCTACATTTTAGACCTATTGATGCTCATCGCATTTTTCCTAGACAGTTTAATTGACTGGTGGGAAAGCCTCATGTTACTGAGTGCCTACAGCATGTATGTGGTCACCATGAAATGGAATGTATACTTTGAACAATGGGTGAAGGATCTGTTGAGCAAGAGGAGAAATTTCGTCCAGGCGGCGGCTTTAGAAGTAAAAAAGAAGGTTGGTGCCTCCATTATTTTGATATCTAGTTGGGAATGTTGGACTCAAACCACAAGAAAACAGAGCCCCTTTGGAAGAGGGCACATTAAAACAACCCAATCAAGGCCCTCAAACTACAACAGTGGGTCAAGGCAATTGGCTTGCTTGATAATTATTTAAAAAAGAGGAGGCATCATGTAAATATTGGGTAGCAACAGAAAATAAGGAAATCAAGGGAAACTTTGTTCAGGGGCCACACACTAAGGGCATGTCTCTCTTTTCAGAGAGCTGCATGGGATTTTATCATTCAGCTGCTATTGATAAATTAACCCCATTCAGCTTTGGAAATTCAGGGAATCGGGATTTGGTACAGCAGAGAATCTTACTTTGCTGCATTGGTTCAGATCATGTCTGTGGAGCAGACCTCATCCATGCAGCTAGTGTATTGGTGGGTGGGAATACAGGGTTTTATATCCACAGTGAATAAGCATGAGCGTCTGGGGCTGCATCCACTACCTCCAGTTTGGGAAGTGGAGGCCTTGGACTCACTGATGAGAGTATCATTACCTTCCCTCTGTACACAATGTCAAAGTGACAGCTCATGTAGGAAGGGAGGAGCAGGAAGTAGATGCAGGAAGTAGGGTCCCTTGAGTAAACTCAGTGGCATAATCATGAGAGGCACAGATTTTCGGAGATTTTTCCAGCAGGCCTCTCCAATTTCTGTAGCTTTGGGGGTCCCTACATGTAAACTGAGGCAGTGGAGCAGGAATTGTTGAAAGTGCAGAAGAGGGAAGCCCTGTCTCCATCTGGGTTTCTGGTTCAGAGCTGAGTGTGTGTGGAACCAAAGTCCACTTTGTGTGGTTCCTGCTAAACGTGGCAGATTTCCAACAGGAAACCCATGCATAACATATTGCAGCAACATGCATACATAGACTCAGACACTAAAGTGAACAGCA